ATGCGTAAACCAATAAATTAATAATAATAATAATAATAATAATAATAATCATAATGTTCGATTATTCCTAAACTATTTTTATATGTAACACTGATTGGTCGTTGAATTAAAGATTGCAAAATATACAGCAATTGGATAATTGTTAGATCCTGTGTAGTCGTTGTCAGTCAGTTGATTATGAATATAGTGGTCTTGAGTGCTGTTAGAGGTATGAGGGTGGTTATCACTTCCCGGTTGCTCACATCGTGGAAGGGTTCTTCTGGAGGTACCTGAAAAGGAAATTGGATTAGAGGTGGTCTTAATGACCTGAGAGCTTAACCCTCAGTGTCCAATGGATAACTGCTTAAGGTCGGTTATACATGAACGTTTTGTGTTGGCTCCGTACTTGTTGAAACCTTGCCGCCGGAGATAGATTACCGTGGGATAAGGTGAGGTGTAGATTTTTAGGGTTAACCCTTTCTAATCCCACCCAACCTTGTGGGAAGGCAACATCATTGTCATGCTGGCCGTCTGAAGGAAACACTTTACTAATGTCACACTTCTGTACAGTCAGCAGTACGACTTCTCTTTCGGACATTGGTTTTGTTGCTTTTAATCCTACCGCTCTTCAACCAACCTGCCTGCCAGACATGGTAGTAGGACCTTGAGGAACGGTTGTTCCAACCAGTATAGCTCGGTTGCTTCACCACGATAGGCAAGCCCGACCACCATGTCAAGGTAGCAACCACGGTCGGGTAGTAGTCGTAGATAGTAGTGTAGTGAATAAGAACATGAATGGGGACAATCGAATAATGTATTTGACATGAAATTATAGAGCATTTCACTAAAATCTGACAACCATATAGTAAATACACTTTGGCCTGACCGTTGTTGCTACCTTGACGTGGTGGTCGGGCTTGCCTATCGTGATGAAACATCCGAACTATACTGCCTAGAACAATCGTTCCTCAAGGTCCTACCATGCCAGACAGGTCGGTTGAAGAACGGTAAGACTAAAAGCAACAAAACCTAGGTCCGAAAGCGAAATCGTACTGCTGACTGTACAGAGGTGTGACAGCAGTAAGGTGTTTCCTTCAGACAACCAGCATGACAGCGATGCTGCCTTCCCACAAGGTGGGGTGAGATTAGAAAAGGTCGACCCTAAAAATCTACACCTCACCTTATCCCACGGATATCCGTCTCCGGCGGTAAGGTCTCAACAAGTACGGAGCTAACACAAAAACTACTCATAAAAAGGTCGTGTGTGACCGACCTCAAGCAGCTGTCCCTTGGGCACTGCGGTCACGCTCTCAGGTCACTATGACCAACTCTAATCCAATTTCCTTTTCAGGTACCTCCAGCAGAAGAACCCTTCCACGGTATGGGCAACTGGGAAGTGATAACCGCCCTCATACCTCTAACAGCACTCAAGACCACTGTATTCATAATCAACCTCCCTCTTCAATAAATACACTTTGGTGTTTTGTATTACTTGTATCTTCCCATTGTTATTTAGGACTGCAATTGATCAGTCTCATGTTGGCATATGTGCATCCTGTGTGGATTGCCTCGATTTTAGCCTTAAGTCATAAGCTTTTTAAGCAAAGATGGATAGTGGCAGGTACATTCAGCCAATGAGTCCCAAATAGGACGAAATGCGCATCCCGTATTTTACTGCTAGCCACTATCCATCTTTGCTTAAATAGCTTGTGACATATAGTAAACAGTTAAATTGCAAATATCAATCCATCGTATCAAATTTGACTGTTCCTTTTGTAAATATCTGTCCATTGTTCATACCAACTGTGTTCCGTTTCTGTTTTTTCCTTATCGATCTTCTACTGAAATACATTCAATGCCTGATCATCGTTATATACTACTTATATAGTTATAAGTAACCCACACCACAATAGTACATATCCACAACGAAACATAATAGACTGAACTTATAATCTTAGAACTGTTTACCAAATATGATACTTTTAAGTTATCTAATGTATAATTTAATTTATCCAAGTGCAAATTAATATGTATTCCATTTTAAGTTAGATTGTTTGTTTACAAGAGGTCTAAGTATATGACTATACTGTTTGAACTAAACCATTTGAAGGTTGGGTTTTAATTCTCAACTTACTGGTCAATCATTTTAATCATTAAGTATTTGAATTGAAATCCTGTAATCTAAATGCTTAGTTATAATAATAATACCTTCATTGGCTTCATACTGTTATATGCAATGATCATAAACAAATCAGAAACTTGACATGACTACTATTCAAATTGAATATTTGAAAAGCATTAAAATTCTTAGTGTAATTTCCATTAGATGATGGTTGGAGGTAGTCAACAGGAAACCCTGGACCTGAGTTTCGTGCTACTTGGCACTCGTCAGCAAGGTGTACCTGTAATATTGAGAAAACTGGTTCTCCCTGACAGATTTGATCCAGTGTCGATAGCATTCGATCTTCATTAAAAAGAATTTGACACACATGACATTGATCACCACCCCAGTGATCAATCAATTATGGTCATTTCCATCGTAAATTTCCTTTTTGATTAAGTTGGCTGAAACATGTGTTAAGTATCAATTCAACGATGATATACAATTTTGTTTGGAGTAAAAATAAGTTGGATTAAATGAAGATATGACATCAATTCATGAAGTTATCGACTGTTGATCGGTCGAATCTATCAATATCATGTAATTAACTTCACCTTCTATGATTCTAAGGTTTTATAGTAAATGAAAGAATCTATTCTCATAAGAGACAAGACAATACCTAATTCTTATCATCATTAGTATTAGAGATAGTTCTTGTGGGGGGGCCTTATTTATTGATATTTTTTTTTCAATAAAATTATATCTTCAACCTTATAGTAACCTATTTAACCTTGATGATTAGAGGGGGGGATCATGCAGTACTCTTGTTATAATGTAACTACCGCTGAGATGTTACTACATGTAATAAACATGTACTCTCAGATATATATATTTTTCATGTTTATTACTGATCTGTCAATATTCAAAATAATAATGGAATGTAAACAGCATGATATTGATGAATACTAAATGTGTATGTGAATATTTTGATTGTATCTCTAGAGAGCTTATTTCTAGAGTATTTTTTGGTTATGATATAATGTAACCCCTAGTTTTTTGAATGATAATAAGAGGAGTGCAATAGTTCCTGCTAAGATTATTGATATATTTTTATTGATTATTTGGGTTATCTAATCATGAAACTTAAACCCAGCTGGAACCTTGTTCCTGGTCGCTTCTAATCATTTGGCGTCTAACATTTTTTGTTCATCTTCACGTTCGTAATCACTGACGATTTCTGTTTTATTTATTGGAAAAGTTTTTCTAGAGAATAACTTGATTTTCAGGTAGAATTCGCTACAGACTGATTTTATTTAGGATAATAAGGAGCTTGTCTGTTTCGGATTCGATCCCTGATGGGCTTATGAATCTATATTGCTGACAAGTCCTACACTAAAATGAGACATCTATCAAATGCCCTCCGGTTTTCGGTGGTGCTCTAATTGAAATCAGTGTGTGTTGAGCTATAACTACAAATTTTATTACATATTTAACTATGTCGTTGATTAGGTTTCCATCTACCACCCACTTCCCAGAAAGTTTCTCTACCTAGAACTAAACATAGTGTAGTAGTAGTAGTAGTGTAGAAGTAAACAATATCAGGTTTAAGATAAACAAGAACCAATCAACATCGAGGTGTACAGGACAAGCTATGAACCACATGTGGAGAAATTTCAACACTTTACTTCTATCTGAAGTTTATGCTGATGATGTCGTTCAGAAGGACGATGAAAGCTCCACGACTAAGTCATCCAGTTCAGAGAACGAAACTCCACCAAAAAATAATTTTTGTATTCACATTGGTCATATATCAAATGTTTTCATTTGTATCGAAGTTGTTAAGAGTTTACAAAGAATGTTAGAATTTTTTTTCAATGAAAAAAGTCATCCGACTTTACATAATAAGAAAAACCATATGAGAAAAAGTATGGGTGTAAAATTATGAAACTAAGCATTGTGTTTGTGTATTTGTTTGGTATGTCCCTTTTATTACGTAATACTGACAATCATGATGTGAATAGGTTTCCTTAGAGACTGTAGAATTGTCATAGTTTCTAAATCACCAACTGATCTTAACTAGACAACCATTAAAATCTAAGAAGCACTTGACAGTTGTTTCTGTACCTTATGTACTAATAATGATCCTGCACTCACTACTGAGTAGCTTTACGATGCAGCTCCTGGAGTCCTATTGAGACGCTCTGACCAACGGAGTTCAACTATGTCGGGTATGAGACAATTATCCATTTCAAGCAATGAAAGATAGTCGCACAATATTGAAAATTGATTGAAGTTAAGTATGTATCTCAACAGATGTCAGTTCAGTGATTTAAAAGTTAAGCGTTCGCGCTCGAGATCAAAGGTTATGGCATCAATCCCCCGTGGTCGTGTCGTGAATGCACATTTCCATACTAAGACGAGACAATAGTCCAGCTTTCAATGATGGTCTAGGTAATATCAGTATGTGATTTTAGATATAAATATTAGGAAATTCAATTTTGTTGATAGCAGTTTCGTCACTAGTTGTTAAATATATAGTCGTCTTCAATCTCATCGTCAACATCATTAAGTTGGCTTACTGTGCTTTTCCATGTTTATATTATGGAATGAGAAAGTATTTTCTTAGTTCAAATCTCATTCTAATCATGTCAATGATAATAATATTATTGGTAGTCATGCTTATGTACTCGAATGTGATCCATGCTTTCATTTTGTATGGGTATTATTAAGAGTATCTGGCTGATCAAAGAAAGGTTAGTGAGCTGGAGCCTAAATATATAACCTACTGGTTGAAAGCTGAATGATTTATTCACTCTGACTAACCTCTTCATGGTGACTCGATTTAGGCGTCTAATCCTGATATTTTTCATTATTTCTAATCTCTATCAATTTTCTTTTCTTGTCTCATTGATCTCTTTAGATGGACAAGCACCAACATTTGATGAATCAGAAGGACAAGCTGGTTGGATTGAAGGTTTAGCTATTCTGATTGCTGTATTTGTTGTTGTATTTGTTGTGGCATTGAATGATTGGCAAAAAGAACGACAATTTCGTGGTTTACAAAATAAAATTGAATCAGAGCATACATTTTTTGTTATACGTAAAGGTGATACTAAACAAATTCCTGTAAAAGAAATTGTTGTTGGTGATGTATGTCAAGTGAAATATGGTAAGTTGATTATTTAGCAGATTGTGATACTTTTCAATATGTGGTTGTGGAGATTATTGAACTGTTCCAAGTTAGACGGTCATCGACTTGGGTGCACAGAACAGCCGTTTCGTCTTAGTATAGGTCTTAGCAGTGCGGATTCACAGTCCCATAACCGGGAATCGAAAATTACTATGTGGTCACTGGCTGCTGAGGTACTTCCTACTAAGATGAATCGACCGTCACTGCTCTCAGGCTTTTGATGTCAATATTAAGCTTTTCATGTACCACTAAATAGAACAAAGGATATGAATGACAGTAATTTTAGGCAGTTATGTTCAATTTTCTTTTTCGTTTACTCAAGATTGTTATCACTGGTAGTCTTCATTTGCTCATAGCTGAATATTTATGTAAAGGGAGAGGTTAATGAGTAGTGACAAACAAATCATTTTATTTAGACTTAATGTATTACTTGAAAGATCAAAGAGTTTCATTATAAAGTAAATAGTAAATGAATCAGCATTACTTCCAAATTAATTACATTTGAAGAGAAAAACTTTTGGTCACAGATTGTTATCAGTTAAACGAGTATTAATAACCAAGAGATATACTAGATACATTTGTTTGGTTGTGTCTAGGTCTCGAAAGTAAACACAGGATGAGTACTTAACTAACATGAGTCATAGTTCACTATCTATTCTTTTAGACTAGTGGTCATTTATTGTAATTCTGTCTATAAAATTCGCCTAGCATTAATAACTACTACTACTGTAGTGTACACTACTTTTGTGGACAGATATAAGTAGTTCGTAGTAGGAATTAGATATGGAATGCTTACCAGCATAAGATTGAAATAAAGAGAAGAGGAAGGAAAACAATGAGAAATGAGGATAACAATAAACTTGGAAGAATGATGGAATATGTAAAGATCAACCGAAGGAAAATGTGCAAATGATGTCGTCAAAGTATGATTTTCATCATTTATAAAGGCATTATGTAATTTTGCACTTCTTTATTCACAATACGACTACTGTGGTGCGCGCTACTTATATTGATATAATAAGTAGTATATGACACGAGTTAAAAATGTAATGTCTGGCAGCAGAAGATGGGGGAAGATGAAGAAAGAAAGAACGGGAACACAATGGAATTTGTATGAAAACGTATGAACAATGAAATGTCAGACAATGGATTAATGTTTGCAACAGTAACAGTCTAGTTTGATATGATGGATTGATATTTTGCAAATTAACGATTTAATATATCAATGATTAAGATCATGAGTCAGTTGAAGCTAGACCACCATGGAAAACCTGGAAGCACTGGACGGCCGTTTCGTCCTATCATGGGACTCCTCAGCAGTGCGCATCCACGACCTCACCCCCTGCGAGATTCGAACCCAGGACCTACTGGTTTCGCGCGCGAGCACTTAACCACTAGATCACTGAACCAACCGGCATTCAACGGTGTTAATGTCTAACTTCAACTAATCCACGAAATTGAGCGACACATCCACCATTGTCTTCAATGAGTTACTATCCCACAACAGACCTGGTTTGAACTCCACTGGTCACTACTTCTCACTAGAACTCCAGGATATACCTCTTGAAGCCAGTCACTAGTGAGCATATGTTGATTATTATCAGAAGCGGGGGGGGGGTTGTGGAGATTGTAGTAATTTCAATGATTAAGATCATGAGTCAGTTGAAGCTAGACCACCATGGAAAACGTGGAAGCACTGGACGGCCGTTTCGTCCTATCATGGGACTCCTCAGCAGTGCGCATCCACGACCTCGCCCCCTGCGAGATTCGAACCCAGGACCTACTGGTTTCGCGCCTGAGCACTTAACCACTAGACCACTGAGCCGGCATCCAACGGTTTTCCTATTTTACCAATTAACTCTGAAATTTTGACCTAGTGACAATTCGGTTGTCCTCACCTGTGTTCTCCTTCATTACACTACTACTAATACTATTACTTCTGTTCAGTAGCCGACCAGTGTTCTTATTCAAATGATTTTCGTCAAACATTATGTGATAGTATATGTCACACTGTTTACTATTATTCATATATATTTAGTAGTATGTATAGCTTTATACTTAAATCATATAATGTAAGTAATTAATATTTAATAGTTGCTTAGTACTTGAAATAATCTAGGGCGGTGCCTTATATGCATATTAGTTTATTCAATCTACATAGTTTTCACATTAGCTGCGACTTAACTAAGGTCAAATGTTGAAATTCCTGCTACGACTATTTCGTTTATAGGAAAAAACAAACAAATTTACTCATAATAAATCAGCAAATAGTACAATGAGGTGTGATTTATCATTGATGTCTACTTGTATATATGTATGTATGTATGCATGTGTACATGCTTTATGAATTATTCCAGTGAATTAATTGGTTAGGTCAATTTGAATGATCGAAATTAACTGAACCTGAGATTTCACAGTTTACCTAATCATAGGTTCATTACCGATAAAGGTAATATTATAGTGAAATACAATCTTTTCACGCTTTTTTTTGTTGTTTGAATCAGTTTTGCATGACCTGACATGACCCAACTACCCCCCCCCCACAGACCAATCACATTACAAAGTAAAAGGGTGATGATGTTGTCAACCAGCTACGAATTGAAGTTGCCCTAGTTAAACTAGTCAATTCAATAAATGTAATACCTGGCAAAAAATATTTCTAAAACTAACTATGGTTTAAAACCTCCTTTTACTTTGGTAAATTTTGATCAATATACAACTAATATATGAGAAAATTGATTAGAGTTCGACAAAGAGAATTTGAGGTGACTTATATTGTGAATTCAACTTCTATATTCCCATATAATGGGATCATTGAATTATCGAATCCACTAATGAGGAGCTCACCTTAGACCAATAATGCTAATGATCATCGCCTAACCAATAAAAACGATGAACACCAGTTTCTATTGGCTGTCCTAACACTTATTGATTCACATGGATTCTTCTATACCTGATATCTAGTCAGAGAAGGAGAACAGGAAGCTGATTTGTTTTCTGTTTTTGTAACTCCTATACTCGAATGATTTAATGTTAATAATGTACATCAATTACACAACCAAAAGTCATCATAAAGGACAAATCAACATCTGCATATAACTGTCATCTGTAGTACAAAATGAACAATACGTACTTAACTAATTCATTGTAATTTGTTCAGAGTAAAGTAATACGAGGACAGTTAATGAATTGAATGAAAGTTTACAATTAGAATGGGATATAAAGACACTATAAGAGTGTAATGTGAACCATAAGAACAAACCAATGGTGAATGATTGAATCGTTTCAAAGTCACTGTATACGAATCAAATGAACATATCATCTAAGAATGATGAAATGAGTGAAGTAACGGAGGGATGGCTGGCAGTTGTAATTATATTATGAAAAATTATAACATTTCTAAAAGAAGCAATTATTATATAGAGTTTCAGTTTAAATTAGGGTTTCAATGATAGCGTTTAGTGTTTGGTTAGAATTAGGATACGAAATTTAACGGTAGGGTTAGAGTTTAACCTTAGGACTAGAGTCTAGATTAAGTCTAAAGTTAAGGTTAGTTTTTAGAACAAATGTTATGATGTAAAGTTTAAGGCTAAACACCTGATGTCTTTCAATTCTTTCAATTCAATACTGTAAATCCTAATACTGATTGTGAAACCTAAACTGTGGATTCTTATCATGAGCCTTAACCATCAACTGCTCATCGTAAATCTAAGGATGATTTTTATTTTATTTGAACACATAAATATCGGTACAAGGGGGGTACCAGATATATATGCACCACACACACAAAGTAGGAATAAAACAGAGTGAATAAGTGACGTAGTAAATAATAATAATAATAATAATAATAATAATAATAATAATAATAATGTGAATTGTTTGACTTTTAATCGAAACGAGAATAGTATTTTCAGTAAATATCGTCATTTCATTCTATTTGTGTGTGAGCTATGATACTGCCCGGGTGCCCAGACCGAAGCAGGTGGTTTTCTTGGGGGACCACACCCTAAGCCTTTGACCTAAAGGTCGGATCCACAAGGAAGTGGAGCAACGTCAGGAGATGCAGTCTCATGATAGTCGGTGACCAATAATTGATTCATACGCCATTTGTTCCTTCAGGATACTGGAGCCCATGTGAACCACTAGTTTGGAATGATGTTTTCCCAACTCCCCTAGGTGGACTCATTGTGTCTACCAGCCCGGTTAAAACTCCGGACATTCACTTTTCATCCTCTCTCACTGTGAGAAGGCAGTGAGTAAGACTTCCCTGACAGAGGCTATATACACGTGGTCATGTGAGAGCGGGCGGGCTTTCCCCACTCTTGGCCATACCAGGGCATTAGATGTCAATTATAAGTAACAAAAACTTTCAATAGTGGATACACCTACGATATCAGATTGAATCTAGATTTCAGTTGTTTTTTGTCATCAAGATATTTGATTTACAATCAGTGAATCACAAATTCGAAAAATCTTCTTCTTGTTCATCGTTTAATTTAGCTATGGTTTCTTGTTATAAAACAAAAACTCCTACATATTAAAGCTAAACAATTTAACTTGGTAACTAAACAGTATATCCCTAATACTATTCATAAATACATGGTTTACTGATTCTTTGCTTAATCTTGATGTAAACTATGTTTATTGATCATTAAGTAGTTTACATAGTTCCATATTAGTGCGGGGGTATTTATAGAATTCTCATTTTTCCCCATTTGCCCTACTATATAAAAAAAAAATAAGAATGGGTATTTATTATTATTGTTATTAGTTTTTAGACCCCATTCCCCACACACTCTCTCTTTCCCTACCTAATCATTATATCCTCGTGCCTATGTGTGTGCAATGTACCAAAAATACACATACATCATTGGCTCTTATGGCGTCTTACATTTCGATATTAAACAATCATTAATTTTTGGTTTGTATATTAATCTAATGTATAAATATATTCACTGTTATAATCACGAGTCAAACTAAGCTAGGCTGTGATCGAAGACGTGGAAGCATTCAACGGCCGTTCCTTCCTAGAACCAGAACTCTTTAACAATGCATATCCACCAACTCGCACGTGGAACTCGAACCAAGGAACTTCCGTTTCGCTCGCAAACACTTAACTCATATAAATATATATTAATGTTTAATGAAATAAAGTAGAATACAATTTTCTAGTCTATAATTATTTCAATCAGTATTCCACTTTGTTAAAAAAAGTCTTATTGACCAATTAAAGGTTGATAATTGCATATTTGCATATTTGTAGAATATGTGTTGTTCTATTTATTGTTTTATTATGCATAAAACATACATCTACCCCTTTCGTACGTTTTCTGTTTTACTGGATCTGTATGTAAGTGTGAGTCGTAAATATCGTCATATTTACATTTCTGTATCAGTAGTAGTTGTCTTATGGTAATCAAACTGAACTGATTTGTTAATTCAATCCATCACTTCACCTTGTATATATAGTGAAGTACGCACAACCATAGCTAAAGATCAGTTGACTTTCTATAAGTTTATCAAGAGCAATTATATAAACAAACAAGAAAAGTGCTAATTTGGCCCCTATAGAAATACGCATATATGTAAACTAAGGTACTTACATACATAAATATGCTTGAAACCGATCGCACACGACCGTTCTACAAAAAGTTTTCGGTGTGTCAGTATCATACTTTTTAGTCCTTACTTCAGGCAATGGGAATCTGTCGACCAAGATGAAATGTACCTATTCTAGGGTCAACCTTTTCTCACCACCTGCTTTTGTTGTGTAAATATAGTATTGGTATCTGTAGGAAACATCTTATAGTTCCTACACCTTAGTAACATCATCAGTACGAACTATGAGTTTGTTACCTCTAGTTTTACCACACCGACTCAATTATCTATTATTGTAGGATGTAAATAGAGCAAATATTTTAACCAATCTATTTCAATCAGTATCCTTGCTTGATCATTACATATCAAGGTATGAGTTACAGTAGAGAAACGATTACACTTTTATCTATCATATTCAATGAAATACCATTATTCACTATTACTAATAGTTACGTGATATTATTTTTTTTTTTTTTAATTTTCTTTTTCAATACCCCAAAATATGTTCTTACTAGGTGATCTCCTACCAGCTGATGGTATAGTGATACAATGTAATGATTTAAAAATTGATGAAAGCTCTTTAACTGGTGAATCGGATCAAGTGAGAAAAAGTGAAACAAAAGATCCTGTCCTACTTTCAGGTAATTTCCCTAATTAGTTTTCGTTTTTTTTTTGCTTAAAGTTCATTTTGAAAACTCTATTATTCTCTTGCCTTACACTCACACATACACACAAACAAACAAACAACGATACTATCATATTTTATGTCTTTCGAATTTGAACAAAATAAGTAGAGAATAATGAATAAAAATAATTTGTTTTCGATTTGTGTGATGGCTTTCATATTGCTTAGGTGCCCATACCGAAGCAAGTGGTTTGCTTAGGGGGTCCAACACCCCAAGGTCTAATCCATAAGTCAATGAAGAAACGCTAGGAGATTTAGTCCCATGGTAGTGATTGACCAACAATAGGTTAATACTTCGTTTGTTCCCTTAGGATCATCTAGCCCATGTAAACCACTAGTTTGGAATCAAGGTTTTTTAATTCCTCTAGATAGATCCACCATATCCATCAATCCGGTTAGAGATCTGGACGTTCACTTTTCATTCTCTCAACTTCGTAAATAACACCCTCTTCGCAAGAAGGTAATGAGTAGGACTTCCCTGTTAGTGGCTGTTTATGTGTGGTCATATGAGGATGTTTCGAGAGCGAGAGAGAGCTGATTCTCTTCACCCTCAGCCGTATCAGGGCAATAAATATAGTGGTTACGTTTTATGTTGCATGATTTGATTACAATTGTATTTATCAGGTCAAGGAGAGATTGGTCAGATCTTCTTTGCTTTCGCGTAGATCATATTGGAAGCGCTTTATGATAGTAATCTATCCGAAGTGGAGCAAAAGAGGTATAGGCTTTGCTTTTTAAAATGAGGCAATTTTTCTAAACACTCTAGGAATGTCGATTGTATGCTGTCCGCTAAAGTTTAAATTGCCAGTGATTGTATTTATGAAAATTTGCTTCCAATTTCGGGTATAGGTTTCGAGAAATCTTGTAGAAGCCGGTTTTCAGAACTTTTTATGCATAATTACTACTCCAAGTCTATATATATATATATATATATATATATATATATATATATATTCGTAAATGAGATTGGAGGTGACCTAAGATGGCTGCTGGTTAGCTTTTGATTGACTTAATAATCATTTTAGTGCTGTGTGCTGAAATAAATCGATCTTCAATAATATCCCTATCTATTTTCAATTAAAGTCTTTTAATGACATTTGGGTGTTTATAGAATTCTACAATATCCTTTCCTCCTATTTCATAATAGATTTCTTTGATTACCTTTGCTGTGTTTTCTATATTTTTTTTGCTTCTTATAAATGATCTATTCAGTCTCAAACATTCATTTCAACTTCATTGAGCGGCCAAATCAAAATGTGACATCAATGCTTGAAGTCACTAACTTTTGGTTTGAGCCATTTTGGTAGATACAGACTACTTGGTTGGGGTCTGCGTGACTATCGTAACCAATGGTTGGAGACTCTGTGTGACATGGCACAGAATCGATTACAATGGCGTCGGTGTATACACTCTTTGTCTTTTTTTTTTAAACTAAGAGATTAAAATCGCTTCATACTTTTGTTTCTACGAACTAATTCTTTATTCCTGTACTATCTCCTTATATGCAATCTTTCTTTTATATACTACTACCACCATTGAATTAACTACTTCTTGGACCGATTCATATATGTATCTGGTCCTACATTGTAGCTGACTGATTCAACTTCATTAACTTATGAGTGTTTATGACAAATGTGAATCTATAAAATAGAGGTGATTTAATCAGAGTCTTTTGGTAGCACTGAGCAACAATGCTAGAATGTTTGGGATGCGCTTTTCTCCCTCTAAATGCAAGTTGTTGCTTCAGGACTGGTCTGCATCAACACCTGAACTAAGGATAGGGGGTGAAGTAGTCGAACGCGTTGACAACTTCACTTATCTTGGAAGTCTGATCAGCCCTAATGGGTTGGTGTCTGACGAAATCTCAGCACGGATTCGAAAAGCTCGCTTGGCCTTTGCCAACTTACGTCATCTATGGCGAAGGCGAGATATCCGTCTATCAATTAAGGGACGAGTATACTGCGCGGCAGTTCGTTCCGTCCTTCTATACGGCTGCGAAACATGGCCTTTAAGAGTGGAAGATATTCGTAAGTTACTAGTATTTGACCACAAGTGCCTTAGAAATATTGCGGGTATCTGCTGGGATCACCGGGTAAGTAATAGTGAGGTTAGACGCAGGGTATTAGGGAATGATGGTAAATCAGTTGATGAGGTTATGAATCTTCATCGACTGAGATGGTTGGGCCACGTGTTGCGTATGCCTGAACACCGATTACCACGACGCGCAATGCTAACCGGTGTTGGGGATGGTTGAAAGAAAGTTAGGGGCGGCTAAACCAAAACGTGGCATCAGTGATTGAAGTCACTAACTTCTGGTCTGAGCCATGCTGGTAGATGCAGACTACCTGGTCGGGGTCCGTGTGACTATCATAATCAATGGTTGGAGACTCTTGGTGACATGGCTCAGAATCGATCACAATGGCGTCGGTGTATACACTCTCTGTCTTCCTTTAAATTAAGAGATTAAAATCGCTTCATATCTGTCTAGGAACTAGTTCTTTCTTTCTTTACTATCTCCTTATACACAATCTTTCTTCTATATATTACCACCACTGAATTAACTACTCCTATGAATCCGGTGTTCATCTTGTTGTGCTAATGCGGTATGGCAACTTGGACCGATGCATATACGTGCCTGGTCCTACGTTGCAGCTGACTGACTGACTGACTGAGGTGATTTAATCCTATTGATCTTGCTTTACTAAGATTTATTAATGGGACCAATTGTATTTAATTGTTAGACTAATTTAACTTAGTACTCCATAACTGTAATATTCAAGTTCTATGGTTCTGATATTATTTTTTTAGCCATTGATTTGAAATGTATTGTGTTATATTTATTTCTAAGGGTTTATAGTAATAGAATCAAGAAAGTGTGTTTCGTCATAGTTGAGACTTGTTAGTTGGTTTTATCTACATGTGGCTATCTGAACTTGATAGTTCAATGAATAATACATTTTGAATAAGATGAAACTCATATCTTGAACTTTACTTGGAATCCAATTATTCAACTTGACAATTTTTTCACCATCTGATACATCATGTATTCTTACAATATTGATATATCAAGAGGATTTTTTTGATTCATGGAATCATTACTCTTGATCTAGGAAGTTGGTACAATTGTACATCAATCCAAAATACCGTACCATATTACCAAAACAAAATGTAGTCAACAAGATAAACAGCAGTAAATGAATAAAACTTATATAACAGTACCGATAAAAGGCATAAAGACTTAACAGAAAGGATCTGGTTTAAAAACAAAATGTATAAAAATGATTTTAAAAGTTATGATTCAGGTTGGAAAAAAAAATCCATTTGCCAATTTTGAACTAGAAACGTATATGTATATGATTTAGTTACTAAGTGTGTAGGCTGTGTGTATGTAGTTCGTTTACGAGAAGCATAGCTCTTCACTGGAGAACCATTCCAAAAATAAATAGTCTCAGAAATAATGTTTCGTTTTTTTATTTAGAACTTCTCATCAATGTGTATATAGAGGGGGATCATTTGGTCACTTAGAACATAACATCATTCAGTCACATAAGTTCTCTATTGATTGATCTAACTATGACATTAAATGACAGATTCGAATTGTACAATGTACATTAGTCTCTTCGAAACTATATAGATATATGTAATTGCTAATGTTGTAAATGTTAGCTTACACAAAATACTGACGTAATAAAGTTTTCTGTTTTCGATCAATTAAGGAAAATCAAAGATGCTTAAAATGAATTATTTAATGAAAGTAAACAATCTAATATGCACAGTACGTACATATTGAATGGACACACATTTTTCATTATTCAATGTGTGTGTGTGTGTGTGGTAACAAGCATTTCCAGGCATTTTGTTTCCATTCATATACCAGATGAGTGTTAGATGTAAGGGAAGTCCTACTCACTGCCTTCTCGTGGCGGTGGTGTTGTTAACGAAAATGAGAGGACGAAAAGCCAATGTCCGGCACATAGGCTCCAGTATCCTGCCTGAAGGAACAAATGGCGTATGAATTATTCGTTGGTCACCGGCTACCATGGGACTGCATCTCCTTACGATGCTCCACTGCCTTGTGGGTCAGACATTCAGGTCGAAGGCTCGGGGTGTGGCCCTCTAAGAAAACCACTTGCTTCAGTTTGGGCACCCGTGCAGTATCACAGCCCTCACACAAATCAATTGAGATTCGTGTGGCGCATATGTATTTGGTGCCTCCTTGTACCAATGTCTATGTGTTAAAATAAATAAATAAATAAATAAAGATGTAAGAACATAATTGTCACTAAGAATTTCATTCCAACCTCTAATCTTCGCTTTGTTTGTTTGTTTTTCATCTGGCAAATGTGTATGCGCGAAATGAAATCTTGAGTGTTCTTCATTTATTTATTTTTATTTATTCAAACACATATACATTGGTACAAGGAGGCACTAAATAGATATGTGGCACATAAATCATTCGATTTGTTTGAGGGTTGAAATACTGCCCGGATGCCCATACCGAGGCAGGTGGTTTTCTTGAGGGGCCACACCCCAAGTCTTCCTCAAGACAGTGGAGCAATGTTAGAAGGCGCAGTCCCATGGTAGTAGGTGACCAACAAGTGCTTCATATACCGTTTGTTCATTCAGGATACTGGAACCCATGTTCAACATTGGTTTGTAACCAGGGTTTTCCAACTCCCCTAGGTGGACCCACTGCATCCACCAACCCAGTTAGAGCTCCAGACATTCGCTCTTCATCCTTTCAATTTCGTAAATAACAACACCCCTATGGCGAGAGGGCAGTGAGTAGAACTTCCCTGGCAGAGGCTATATACGCGTGACCATTTGAGAGCATTTCGAAAGGGAGAGCTGACTCTCCCAACTCTTGGTCGTACCAGGGCATTTGGGGGCATGTTGTTCATATTTTTAGATTCGTTACTCACTTATTAAATAAACAAAGAACTGCTTGAAAATGCT